ACAAAGTTTTATTAAGAAAAGTCCTATTGTGATTTACACCTATTTCTCTATAAACTTACTGGCCTATTTTCTATGGGATATTTTTTTAATATAGTTGTTGTATTTTTGTTTTTTCTTTTCACTTACGTTTAAAACAAGTGGGAAAATATGAGAACAAATTTCTGCACAGTCAGTGACCAGACAATAAATGGAACCGAATAAAAAAATATGCAAATGCCTTGAAGACATGATGTCATTTTGGTGAAGTTCAAATCAACTGGAATCCAAACGTCGCTCTCCTACGACTGTGGTTGTATTTTCATACCGTCCTCAGGTGACGATCTTTATATATTTCAATGTGAGGTTTGTTGTCAGTTCACTTGACAACACTTCAGCACTTTTCAATATAAATCATATATTTACTGCTATCACACTGTGATTTGTGCTGTTGGGCACAGTGATGCACCTTTCTTTGTTTCAACTATCAAATCCTGGGTATTAAGTTCTCCAGGGCCTGATGACATCAGAACATGGGAGTAGCCATCTTGATCTTCAGCATTCTATCTCCTGTTTGTGCAAGACTTGATACTGTGGTGCATTGTTTTGTTCTGCAGCCACAGTCGAATCTTTATCGGCCTTTTTTTTTTTTTTTCTCTCTGAGTGAACTAGGTGAACAAAGGAGACAAAAAGCCAAAAAGTACCTTTGCACTCTTTTCTTTTTCCTTCCTTATAATTTTCTTGAAAAGTTAAAAAAAAAAGTATTGATTTCTCTTCCGTGGTGTCATCTCATCCCCGCAAAAATCAATCACCATGACTCTGGCTCCCTGCTGCTGTTGCCACTATATCCTTCCTTTTGAAAAGCAGCCTGTCATTTTCAATCAGAGGCTCATTAATTATTGAGGCTCTGCAGGTTGACAAGATGTACGTCCTGTCTTGTTTGCCAAATGAATGATCTGTAGCTCAAATGCCAGGGCACATGATAATGTAACACATCCACCATGGATATTATTGCTGGAGATGGTTGCAGTGACCAACAGTTGAGGACAAAACGTCTGCACTCCTAATCAGCTTAATGCTGGCTTTACTCAAAGGCCTTCTTTCACAGGGAGCAGCTGCTGTCAGACAGTTTGAGTAGAGGGTGTGACTGCTGGCAGAGCTCACCGGTGCGGAGAGACCGGTTGGTGATTAACAAATGTCAGTAGACTTTGGAATCTGGGGAGCCCAGTCTGATGGCTTTGTCCTCTGTGGCTTACCACTGAAGATCTTCCAGGTGGCTCTGTCATGGCCTCTCACTGCCTTCCTTTTCCCTCCCACCCACTCCTTCAGGCCAGCTCTCTCTCCTTCTGCTTCCCTCTAGCCCTTCTCTCTCTCTTTCTCTCTCTCTCTCTCTCTTTCTCTCTCTCTCTCTCTCTCTCTCTCTTGCCTTCACGTCCTCTCCTCAAGCTCAGTGTTGCAGAGCTCTGAGATAAAGAAGTTCAGACATGCCTCACATTTTTAGACCCCCTTGTGGAAAGTAGTTGGCAGGTCCTACAAAATGCAACGGCTGTGTTTCTCCCAGCCATGTGTTGGTGCATGCTGCTTGCTCTGACCTCTTCTGTCTGCCTTTGGAGCAGGGTTTCTTGATGTGAGATATTGTCTGGGAGAAATGAAAGCAGAAGAAGGAGAAATCAGGCTGAGATGTTTTCTGCTGAGCCGTGCAGGAAGAGGGGTTGGGTGCAGCAGCGCCATGCATCTGGCAGATACATTTCTGTCAGCAGCTCTTCAGTGACAGGCTGCCTGCCTTTGAGGAACAGGATCAGATCAGTGGGTCCATGTTGTGAGCTGGCTGAACACCTAAGCACACATAGTCAGCTCCTAAAATGGCTGCCCTTGAAGCTCAGCTCAGAGGAGGATCTGAGCAGCTCAGCCTTGGCTGACTACATGAAAGCAGTGACACCATCTCAACCATTAACTTTGTAAGGTGCAGAGCCTGACTGGCTGAAATGATGCAGACAACTCTAAGGCAGATGGGGATTGTGTAGCAGGCTTTTTTTCCTCTCCCCTCTCTCTGTTCCTCAGGAATCCATCTCCCCTCTTCCTCCAAAAGGATTCCCTTCATATCCATGTCAAATAACCAGGCATTAGGAGACAACTTTGTCCGGAAAGTCTGCCAGTAGAGCAGGGTGGGGCCTGGTGGTGAGACTGTAACCTGACCCTGAACAACAATGGATACCCTGGTTGCTCAGGGATATACTGTCAGCTTGGCCTGCTCACAGTGAAGCTTTCCACTGGCAGGACTGTTGGGTGTGGGAAGCAGGGCGGGATTCCCAACCGTCTTTGGCTGTAACAAATTTCTTGGTTTCAGGATCCAGAGAAGTGGCCTGGATTTCACAGTGATAAAAACTATCATCTGATAAAATCAAGACTGGTTTTGTGACACTCTATCCTGTTCCAGTCATGCATAGAAGCTAGTACGCAATCTCAAACAAGGGAGTTGTACCTTTAGCACCGCACTTCCACAACAGCTGTAATCAACTCATTAATGTTGGCACATGAAAGGCCTTTGTTGAACGTCATCCTGCCTTTAGCAGTGGTTTCCGTCTTTCTCACTGGACCTTAGATGAATTTGTAGATCTGCCTACGATGAAGGTGGATTGAGGAGATCAGGACACACCTGTATTTGAAGTATTTATTACAACATTTTTAAACTTTAAATTCAGTGAGGGGTTAAATTAGTCAGTGAGCTGATTATGTTTGACTGGGCTTGACAGTGTAAAATGTACGTTTTTTTGCCTTACGTTACGTGTCAAACTGAAGTCCCGGGGGCCAAATGCTGCCCGCCGTGTCAGTTTGAATGGCCCACAGCAGCTTAAAAATAATTTAATGAAGTGTAATAAAGTTTTTTTTAGTACACAACAATGAACAAAATTTGTAACTTGAATACATAATAATCAATGTCAGAAACATTTATTAATACACTATGGAGTAGTTACATCTATATAGTCTTCCATTTACAACCGGCCCTTTATGGGGGACTGTATTGATGATGGGGCCCACCGGTGAAAATACGTTTGACACCCCCGACCCTACAGCAAGGTCACTGGTTTTACTGGTTGAATCCTTGATATGAAGAATTCTTTCTGTATGAAGTTTTGTATGTTCTTTTTATGTGTGGGTGGGTTTTTTCCTTAACCCTGGTTGAAAAGTGCAGGGTTAGGTTAGGTTGTTCACACTAACATGACCATAGGTGTAAATGTGAGTGTAAATAGTTGTTCATCGCCCAGGAGGATTGTTTAGCTTTGGTTTTATTAAATTAGCCACATTATCTTCTTCTACTGATGGTCAAAGTACTTAAACTGCCCTCTGCTGGACTATATGATCACTGCTTTATAGATTCTAACTTAAACAGACTATTAACCCTTAGTTATCCAGTATATGTTCCACATATGCTTGGACATGTACCTAAAGCTGTACATGGTCCTGTACTACAGCCATCATTCCTTTCTAAGACACACACTGATATTTGAAGTCATGATGAAAAAGCTGTGAAATGAAGGCAAGATCATCAGCTTAGATTTTCCAGGCCAAATCCGAAGTACACAGAAGCCTGAAGACATAAAGCCTTCATCTCTGGGGTGATTCATTCAGTCTTATTTCAGAGCAGTTGATACAATCTGATGGAATCATCTGCTCTAAATACAGAGCTGGAGCTGCTCTCCAGCTGTTGCTTATCCCAAAGTAATAAAAATGGGACAATCGGCCTATAATCCCGTCCTCAGTCCCTCCATTGTTCTGTGAATGATGCTGCACTGAAAAAATTGACCTTAGTGTTTTGAGTAAGACCAGCATCATCATCTGATTTTCTCTCTCTACTGTATGTTTATACAGGTTTCTTTTGTTAGAACTTAAAGTCGAATTCAATTATTTTAAAACACTAAAGTCGTCTTCACGTGACTGTAGAACATGCAGAACATGCTGTTTATCGTGATGAAACATTTCAGCACATCTTTATTTCTCTTACTGGAACTTAATATATTCAATGTGCTGTGTTTTATTGCTTGTCTTTAAGGTGTTCTGTTTATACTTTATATAATATTATATTATATTATCATGGTATTTATTTTAACCTGACACTTTTTTTCACCAAATAATTTCACTCACATTTCTCAACACTAAAGCATATTGTGACTATTTCAAAACAGAGAACAAATACCTCAAAAAATACCTTACCAAATCTACCAGAATGTACTTGAACAATGCAGTAACGGTGGTAATGATGAACTAAAACATCCTCACATTTTTACACCCTGTGGTTCACTGTGGGGACAGTGTTCTTGGTGTTAAATGACTCTCTTGTGGTTCCTTGAACACAGGCAACATTATTAAAATCAAAGAGCTTCAGATGTGTCCATCTGATCAAACGACATGCTTCCATTATGTGTCACAGGATTCATATCTGAGTATCTTAAAGTCCAGTTTGAATATATGTCCTCAGCAGAATTGGAGTTTCTCTTCAGTGAAAATCTCTGTCTATTCATTTGCAGAGCTTTAGACTGGCCTAAGTCATCCACTGCTATCTTTATCTGACGTTCTTTAGAGAAAGTTTCTGATCATTTTTTCCATCATTCCGTCATTTCCGTCATTTCTTTTACCGTAACTTTGTGCCAGTTTTATACTGACCTTTTTGTACTGCTGCTTCAGCACTTTAGAAAAGTTTTACCATAATTATTTTTTTAATGTTTTAATCATTTACCATATTTTATCATTACCAGAATAACTGTGATACTGAGATCTTGTATTTGCGTAGATCTAAAGGCAAAGCTTTTTTTTTTTTATTTGTTCCTGTTTGAGACAGGATTCACCAACAGTTTGACAGCTGCCGTATTGTTCTCTATATTACAGTAACACTGTTACAGAAAATAGCATTCTTCATGGGTTTAAGCATTTGGTTCCTACTGTGTTTTTTAGTTATAACCTCTTGAACTTCTATGAAAAAGACTCATGGTCTTGTTGTGTTTTTCTTTCTTTGTTCTTTTCTATAGGGTTCCCTGATTTTCCAGGGAGTGCTCCCTCTGTGTTTCAGCGATGGAAGTACTGCAGTGTGATGGCTGTGACTTTCGTGCAGAGTCATGTGATGACTTGAAAAACCACATCCAGGAAGTTCACACTGCTTTCCTGCAGCCTGCAGATGCAGATTTGTCTGATTCCCTGAAAGATGATGACGAGGACGATGAGGAAGAGGAGGAACTTGAGGAAAAGGAGGACAGAGATAACACGGCATCCAAGGCTGGATTAAGTATGTTTGTCACGTCATTCAGATTCCATTAGTAATTGGCTGAGGAGTGAACAATATTATCATTAAATCATACAACTTTAGGACTTAGCTGTGAGTTGACCATGCCCAACAATTGTACTACACTTAGTACATCAGTATTAGTATATTATATTTTACATTTTTAGCTTACTTTTTGTTTAATTTTGAGAGGAGAGTGCATTCATTCTTTTCTTTTATATTCTTCTCCAACACCAAGAGAAAAGCTCCAGTCACTGAAGCAGCAATGACAAAAAAAGTTTTTATCTGTTTACTAAACAGGAAAAGTGAAGTCAGAGATCATTGTCTACAAAGATGCAACACAGTGCAGTTAAAAAGTAAAAAAATAACTTGATAAAACTCCTTAGTGATGCATATACTCTCTCTTTTCTAGGCCCCAACCCTGCTGAGAATTCCAGTCTAACATCTCAGAAGCAAACATCTGAAACTCATCTTCAGTTTTACCAGTGCAAGTTCTGTGTCCGTTACTTCAGATCAAAGTCACTCCTAAGAAATCATACCAAGAAAGTGCACGATGTCGGAGAGGAAGATTCAGATGCAAGTGTCTCCTCACAGACAGATAAGGAACCTAGCTACACTGTTATCACGCACAACGACCATTCAAGGGTTTATTCCTGTCAGTATTGCACATACAAGTCTCCGCGCAGGGCCAGAATACTAAAGCATCAGCTGATGTATCACAGCAAAGATTCTTCAGATGCGTCAGAATATGCCGAGACTGCAGAGGAGTCCGACAAAAGCAGTGCACTAATGAAGGGGACATTTGCTTGTGAGTGGTGTGACTATCAAACTGACCAGAAGGACAGCTGGACTAACCATGTGGTGAAGGAACACAGCGACAAGGTCAAGATCATTTCCTCCATTGCAGAGCTTGAAGGCGAGGCCAGTGGGAGTTCTCCAAAACCAGATTCTTCCTGCTCTTCCCAGAGTCCGACCAGATCAAAGATGAGTTTTTCAGATGTTTGTGGGAAGGAGGAGGACGCCAAAGAAAAATTGCCACAAAACTCTTTAGAGGAATCGGTTCCAGAGATTGCATCTTTTCAGTTTCCACAGATCAGTGCAGTCACACCAAACAGCACAGGTTCCTCTATTCTGTCCAAGAGGTTTGCATCAATGGATTTCACCAACACTGACAAAGATATGGACAACTTAACGAATGAAGAAGACTCAAGGAGCAGCTTAGAAGATGAGGATGATGTTGACGAGGAAGAATTAGGTGATATAGATGATCCTAGCTACACTGGAACACTGTCAGCCGACGCAAAACAGCTCTTAACTGATGACGATAAGTTCCTAGAGACCAAGGGAATACCTTTTAGAAAGTACCAGAATCGATTTCAATGTCCCTTCTGCTCTTTTCTCACTATGCACAGACGTAGCATCTCCCGCCACATTGAAAACATTCACCTTTCTGGCAAAAACACAATGTATAAATGTGATGAATGCCCCTTTATTTGCACCAGCCCTCTCAAACTTGGCACCCATAAGCAGATGCACACTGCTACAGATGTAGAGACCTTGGACCTAACGAACGATAGTCCAGAACCACACACAGACAATGGGGAGCCTGTTAACGGAAGTACTACAAGCTCCAAAGTGAATGGTAGGAAGGTAACCAGCACGGCGAACGACCAGCAGAACCCTCATCGCTGTACACTCTGCAGTTTTTCCACCACCACTCTCAAAGGCCTAAGGGTTCACCAGCAGCATAAGCATTCCTACTGTGATGACCTCGATCCCTCTGCCTATGATAGCCAGCTGACCGACCAGCCAGACCCTGAAGTGGAAGCTTCTCCCATATTTTTAAAGAAAACCCAAACCTCCATTTTAGGGCTCGCCACAAAAAAGCCCTTAGTACTGGGGAAGCGAGCCAGGAAGTCCATTAATGACTTGCCTCTGGACTTATCCTCAGTGAAGAAGAGAACTAGAATTGATGAAATTGCCAGTAACCTTCAGAGTAAGATAAGCCAAAGTCAGCAAGACATGATCATAAATTTGGATGACATGGATGAAGAAGAAGCGGGAGAAAATCACAGCGGTGGAGATACAGAGGGCACAAACCATGACGGCCAAAACCCAATTTTTGCCTACAACATCAAACAATATCATGGAAGAGAGTCATTGCTCATACAAGAGGGATGCAGGATAGGGAAAAGAAAAAGCAACCCCAAGTTAAAATCTAGAAACATTCCCATATCATTGACCCTCTCAGACGACAGTGAAAACATCTTAGTTGATCCCAGTGACGTCGCAGTTCAGGAGAGCCTGGAGTATTCGGAGGAAACAGGAGCTGCACGTTTTTACTGCAAACACTGTGATTACCAGAACAAGTCTGCTCGCAGTGTTAGCACCCATTACCAGAGGATGCACCCTTACATCAAGTTCAGCTTTAAGTACATCCTGGACCCTGAAGACCAGAGTGCAGTCTTTCGCTGCTTAGAGTGCTACATCGAATACACAAATTATAATGATCTACACCAACACTACATGGAACATCACCCTGAAGCAAGCAATGTGCTTAATTTCAACCAGCCACATTTGTTGTACCTGTGCCGCTTTTGCTCATATACAAGCCCAAATGTCAGGAGTTTGATGCCCCATTACCAAAGAATGCACCCAACAGTGAAAATCAACAATGCCATGATCTTCTCCAGCTACATCGTGGAACAGCCCCACAAAACAAGTGAATCTCAAACTCTGAGAGAAATTCTGAACTCCGGTCCCAAGACCTTCAACTCAGCCTCATCAACACCCAGGTCCTCTTCCAGCCCAGTGCTGAAATCTGGCCCCAAGTCTCCCGAAACCAGTACAGAGGTTGACCCTTTCAAAGATGCCGCTGGAGGGAATATTGTTGTTTATGACTGTGATGTGTGTTCTTTTGCTAGCCCCAACATGCACTCAGTTTTAGTTCACTACCAGAAGAAACATCCTGAACAAAAGGCTTCGTATTTCCGTATACAGAAGGCCATGAAGGTGGTGTCAGTGGATCAGCCACAGCCTGCAGCTAATTCTTCATTTAACCTCTCTGTCCTATCTCCTCAAAAGCAGCCCAGCCCACCATTGTATGGGTCAGATGAGGAAATGTACTACTGTAAACACTGTGTGTACAGCAACAAGTCTGTTGTTGGTGTGTTGGTCCATTATCAAAAAAGACACCCTGAAGTGAAAGTAACAGCAAAATACATCAAACATGGTCCTCCTACTGCTGCATTGATGAAACTTATGGATGAGTTACAAATTGCAACTCCTAAGCAGTTTTTCAAACAGTTTCAAAATAACGGGCATGATGGATCCAATAACTCCAGCCCTAAACCAGGAAACGGTGAGAAAGGTGATGACGAGTTGTTTTTCTGTCAGCACTGTGATTATGGAAACCGCACAGTTAAAGGAGTGCTCATCCACTACCAGAAGAAGCACAAGGAGGCCAAGGCCAACGCCGACCTTGTGCGTCGTCACACTGCAGTAGTGCGTAGCCAGCGTGAGCGTGCACAGATGGTCCAAACAGGTAACTCCTCCTCTGCTTCAGCTCCAGCCGCCCCTACTGATGCTGACAGCGCTGGACCGTTGCGCTCTCTTAAGTGCAAACACTGTTCGTACACCTCCCCTTATGTCTACGCCTTGAAGAAGCATCTGAAGAAGGAGCACCCCACCATGAAAGCCACAGCCTTGACCATTCTACACTGGGCTTATCAAGATGGCATTCTAGAGGCAGGCTACCACTGCGAGTGGTGCATTTACTCCCACGCTGAGCCCCAGGGCCTTCTCCTCCACTACCAAAGACGCCATCCAGAGCACAATGTTGATTACGCATATATGGCAAGCAAGCTGTGGGCCGGGCCGGAAACCAACCAGCAGCAAGGAGGCAATATGGAAACCAAGCATTATAAATGCAGAGATTGTGCCTTCGAGGCCTGCACAATATGGGACATCACAAGTCACTACCAGGCGGTCCACCCCTGGGCCATCAAAGGAGATGAATCTGTGCTTTTGGATATCATCAAGGAGAACGACGCAGCTGAAAAGCAGTTTGCCAAAGACCACGCATCTTTCAATAATCAGTCTTTGGATGATGATGGTGCAGTTGTCATCGACACCCCACCTAGAGAAAGCAATCCCCATCTATCCCACCCACGTCTTTCCATCGCTAACAATACCTATCAGTGTACTGTGTGCCTGTCAGAGTACAACAGTCTCCACGGCCTCCTCACTCACTATGGGAAGAAGCACCCAGGCATGAAAGTAAAAGCTGCAGATTTTGCACAGGAGGCAGACATTAACCCCAGTTCTGTGTATAAATGTCGTCACTGTCCCTACGTCAACTCCCGTATCCACGGTGTCCTAACACACTATCAGAAAAGACACCCGTTGGTCAAAGTCACTGCTGAAGATTTTGCCGATGATATAGAGCAGATAACTGAATTGAACGAGGGAGACGAAAAGTGCAAAACTCAAAGGCAGGGTTTCGGTGCGTACAGATGCAAAATGTGTCCGTACACACACGGCACACTGGAGAAACTGAAAATCCATTATGAGAAGTATCACAATCAGTCCGTATCTGAAATGTTCTCACCCTCGCTGACTAATTTCGCTTCCATCAAAGAGCCAGAACCTGTTGCAGAATGCAGTGTTAGTCATTTATCAAGTGTATTAACGGACACCAGTGAATTAGACCTTGCCCTGTCCCAGTTACCCATCACTAAGACAGAGAAACATGCAGTGTTCAGGTGTCAGCTCTGCAAATACTGCTGCTCCACCAGGAAGGGTATAGCTCGACACTACCGTATCAAGCACAACAACGTCCGTGCGCAGCCCGAAGGAAAGAACAACGTCTTCAAGTGTGCTCTTTGTTCGTACACAAACCCCATACGTAAAGGCCTGGCAGCTCACTACCAAAAACGCCATGATATTGATGCTTATTATACCCACTGCCTGGCTGCTTCCAAGACTTTAAGTGACAAACCGAGCAAACTCATGTCGGTGACACTAACGGAGGGAGAAAACTCGGAACTTAGTGAAGATCTGCGTTTGGCTGTGGAGAGGCGGAAATGTTCACTCTGCTCCTTCCAGGCCTTCAGCAGGCAAAGCATTGTGTCACATTATATCAAGCGCCACCCAGGTGTCTTCCCCAAGAAGCAGCACTCAAGCAAACTGGGCCGCTTCTTTACTGTTATATATGCCAAAGAACCTGAGAAGACTGCTGAGGCCGAGGAAGACCAGAAGGTTCTGGAGGTTCCACTTGAGTCTGAGCAGGACACTGAGGTTGACTGGCTGCCATTCAGGTGTCTAAAATGTTATCGCTTGTCCTTCTGCAAAGGCGAGCTGCTCTCTATGCACTACAACGACCATCACGGCGATGACTTAAAGAGGGACTTTGTGGTGTCGCCTAGTCCTGGGGACGAAGACTCTGAGTTGTACCAGTGTTCTCACTGTGAGCTGAAGTTCCTGGCTCTTCCAGCTCTGGCCAGACACCTGCTGACTCACAATGAGGAGTTTCAGAAGAAAGCCATGAGGCTGGAGAGGAGGAAGCAGCTTCTCAGCAAGCACAGGGTGGAAGAAGTGACTGAAGGCAAACTTGAGAAGGTGAGTGGGGCTAAAAATCCCAGAAAAGTCATTGTGTACTATTGGTGTAGGTTCTCAATCATCCAGATCATATTATCCAAAAATAGTTACATTAAGAGCAACTGGGCGGAGGAGGTTTCTTGAAGACGTTTTAACTGGGCGGAGGAGGTTTCTTGAAGATGTTAAACCTCTCATCGAATTGAAGAAGCCTCTTGGATGAGAGGTGAAACGTCTTCAAGAACTACCCTCCTGGTAGTTTGAAAAAAAACCCTTGTGATGGTCTTCTTCATGGATACTTTCTAAACACAAACAAACTCATTAACTGTATGTGACTCAAAGTCTTTCTTTCTTTGTTGCTCAACAGGAAAGTTTTGTCAGCAAAGCTCCCATAGGATTCCGGTGTAACTTCTGTGATGAAGTCCACTCCAGCCTCAGGGCCATCTGTAACCACCTGAGGAAACACGTGCAGCATGGAGAGGTCAAAGAGGGACACATGAGGGTCAATGTGAGTTAAACTCAATTTCCTTTTTCCTGCTGTTGCTTTGACATAGCAAATTATTTCTTATTTACATAATAATTTAAGACAGATTCACAGGACAAATTAGGATGCATATGAACTAACACTTGTACTTGGGCCACATTAAGAATGTCATCCCCACTGACAATTTTGGAAGCACTTAAATGCCTTCTTGCTGAGAGTACAGCCAAAAAGATTAACGTCACCTCCACATGTCCATTATCTCTTAAATATGACGCTGCTGCCGGTGGCAGGTTAGCTGATGTAAGCTGAATTTGTGCTGTAGACAAAACGTCGGTGTGCACCACCACTCTGTCTGTTCTCTGACTTCAGCTTCAGAGTCAGTCTGCATTTTATCAATTAAAAAAAAACACTTTCATGAATGATATGCTAATCCTTTGGTTAACATGAAAACACTTGAAACACTTCCTTTGTTTTACAGTCCAAACACCTTGGTGTTCTGCTTGGTTCGTTCTTTTTCTTTTTCCCGTTTTGTTTATTTCTGAGAGAGGCTTCTGGGTAGACAGTGTGTCAGCTTTTCTTGTTAAAAACAACAGTTCTGTCCCATTGCAGTGCAGAATCTGAGTCGCTGTTGAGCCATAACTTTTAGGGCAGCGACGGGTCTTCGCTCTAACATTAGTATTCAGCTGAGGTTAGCAGTCAGGGTAGGAAGTCAGAGCCTCAAACTAAGGCCTCCTTCTTCATCAGCTCTCAGTCTAATGTTCGGTACAGTCTATGTGGTGGAATTAGGTCATTAAAAAGAACAATCTGGGGTTTCCTATTCGTTTTTCAATTTGCAAAGGTAAAACTGAAGTTGGTTTGTATTGTATTAGGTACATTATCCGGTCCAGATCTGCTTCCTCTGGCAGCATTGTTCTAGAGGAGTTAGATGAAGAACAGGTTGACAGTGCAGTCAGGGCAGACTGGGCTGTAAGGATGTTCCAGAAGCTGCATTTTCTTATTTATGGCTGTACAAAGTGCAGGGTCAGGTCCTTCCACCGGAAGGATGAGATTCCTTGGGACAGTAAAATAAAAAGTCTCAGTGATTGGCTGCCTGGTCTGACTGCAGAAGACACTGTTTCAGTAGTGGCTGACACACAGTAAAACTTTTGTGTTATTGTTGTTAGACAAGGAGACTGTTTTAGCTACAGGATCCCTTCCTGAAAGGATGGGTTCCAAACCCATGTCAGCTCTGGTACAGTGACTTAACAACAGCCTGGACAGTCTTTCCAGTATTTGGTACATAGACAGTGACTTGAGTCTGTCCTTAAAAATGATCATCTGAGCACAGAACAGATGAGCTCAGGCCCAAAGAACTTGGCATTTCTGCACAAAGTTGAAGTACGGTTTTATCTGTAGACGACAGGTTTTGATGGAATTGATGCTCGTCGATGCTGCTTTGAAATATCTTGACACCTTATTACTTTGATGTTTGATGTGAACTCACTTTATTGCACTCCTTGAACGTTAACAAGGATAATGTTCAAGTTTTTATTCATTTTAGAAACAGGAGTTGATAAATCTGTTCGCTTTATGGAATTGTCTTCTATTGTTAATGAAACAATCCAGAACAGACAAATATGTATATATATATTTATATATATATATATATATATTTATATATATATATATATATATATATCATATGAATGTGTATATCACATTCTTAACAAAAAAGAAGCACGTTGTAGCATTGGTTTGTCCAAAACGTTACATCATGAGTTAGGACGACTGCACTGGTCGATTTACTGTGTGTTTTAGTTGAAGTGTCTAAAAAGATTTAAGGCCTACAGGGCATGATAAAAGAAAATTTGTTTTTGGGGATTGCGTTTTTCTTCTCAACACATCTTTGTACTGCACAGAGAACTCAGTTCTTATAGCCACTTAATGTCCACATTTTTTTTCTGACAGAGGTTTGAAGTGGATTTTTTTTTTTTTTAAAGACAATTTTGTCCCTGAATTGCTTCCTGATTCCACAATTCTACGGCACAGGCCTAGGGTTAAATCACAGAGGCTTTGCTGCTTTATCATCATGGTGTCGAGAGTGCTTTGTGTTGACTCATTATCATAGTGTAAACAGACCAAGTAGCCAGGAAATCAGATCTATACCAAAACAATGTTATTAAACTGTAATTTAACCAAAACTGGGTTTGATCACTGCCGCTGCTGAGAACTTTTCTGTGCCTCCGACTGCGGTCTCTAAATTAAAATTGTTCAACTGTAATGTGTCAAAAAGACAACAGAAGGAGGATAAATTATTAATCCTATATGTCAATCTGTGTATATGTAACATAAACACGACAGTCAGCCGCTGATTCACAACCATGTATTT